ATACTAAAGAAAAAGAATAAAATTTATCACTTTATCGCTGTTAATAAAGTTAGAAAGATTTTGTTCCTTATACAAAATTAATTTGGCTATAATGGTTGGATCTAATTCTGTTTTACTAATAAATATTTGACCTTTGCCAACTTTGTTTTATGATAAAACTCCTATTATCTATAAAAGAGCTTTTAAGATACTTAGTAAAACAATAGTTTTTAACAATAAAACTTACTGACTGCATGAATTTAAGTGTGCTACTAGATTGGCAACTAGGTCTCACTGTTTTACTGTTGAATAACTAGATGCAACAATCTGTTCTATTCTAATAGTTTCTTTTCTTGCACTTCACACCTGTGGAACGCCATACCAATTTCTTGCTTCACTACCACCCACAATTTTCAAAAATTTAAAGCATTTGCCATCTTCTGTCTTCCTGAACCTTGTTCCATTATTATCCTTTCCCTCGCTTCTCCTTACTAAAGTTTTCTCATTCTCTTTCACTCCCTGTAACCACCTGCGTCCTAGTGACATTATCACCTTGCTTGGGGTGAAATAACTAAAAGAAAATATATATAGGATTAATACAAATATAAAATTTGTCACTTAACTGATTGATGCTACCTTCAGCATCCCAACTAGATAGTTTCATAGACAGACCCTCCAGCAATCTCTCTGTCCACTCGTCAGGGGATCAACCATTAGATTTTTTTTTTTTTTTTTTATGTAAACCATTTGTGCAAAAATCCTGTAAATTAATGACAATCATCATTTTACTTTGATAATAAAATTTTAATTATTTTAAGAATTTACCTGTATAATCTCTGACTTTGATATCTAAAAGTTTCCAAACACTTTTAATCTATATTGTATTTATTCATATTTAAAAAAATAACTGTATTTGAGTTCTAATTTCCAACTCAAAATTCTTTTTTAAATCTTTTCAAGCTGAGGGCGATAGTAACCAAGCACAATTGACTTGGTTAAGAACTTTTAAATTGAAATCTACAAATATCTAAACTATACGTGCTCATGCATATGTTTTAATAGATCATTTTATTATTTGTCTAAAATAATAAATGTAACTGAATTTGCATAGAAAATGCTATTTTAAAATCCAAGATTTAAGTCTAATCATTTTTACATGTTGTGCTATTCTCAGGTTAAGATGACTGACAATTTTTATGTTATAACACGATGTGCAAAATTTAAGCTAGAAAATCTGATCCTATTTTTCTACTCGATATTAAATCTTTATTTTAATATTTTTTTCTGTTTTATTTTATGTTTTGCTCGTCCCACTTTCACTTTTTTATCTGATGGCGACCAGCTCATAAGATCAGTTTTTTTCCAACTCTCCTGCAAGATGCAAAATAATATTCAATATAATGCTCAGTCTGATAGATATAATACATATATGGTTTAATAAATAAAAATGAAGTTTCTATTTCAAATAAGTGTTCGTTATAATGACGTTTGAAGTAATAAAATATATCATTTGGTCTCTATTGTTCTCAACTTTATTGCCATATTCACAACGTTTTGGCCATTGTACATTCTGACCTTCTTCAGGTAATAAATGATATATATATATCTTACACCTTTATAAGTCTGCCATTCATCTGGGCATCAGATATTACTGCCATATCTGGTATGGAGCTACTGCTATGTATATAGAAATTCTTGACAGAATCCAAAGAAGGATCTGTAATGTCATCAGTCCTGACTTGGCATTTTGGGTTCTGTCATTTTTCTATTATCATGACATGGCTTCCCTGTGCCTTTTCTATAAATATTTTTATGGTAATTGTTCTAGTGACCTTTTCTCTTTGGTACGTCAACTTCATGAATTTAAACGCAGTTCTAGATTGACAGCAAGATTCTATCATTTTACTGTCAAAATTGCTAGATAGAACCATCAGCTCTGCACTAATTGTTTCTTCTCTTGCATTTCTCCATTGTAGAATTCTTTTGTTTTCTTGCTTTCCTGTCAACTACTCTTCAAATATTTAAATGCAATGTAAATTGTCATCTTCTGTTTCCTTGAATACTGGACTTTTAATGTTCATTCTCTCTCTTCAACTTTTTCTCAGTTTCTTTCACACTCTTGTATCTTAGTGGCTTTATCATCTTGCTTGGGATGAAATGATAAAACTTATATATAAATAAATCTCCAAAGATTTGCTAAAAAATTAATCATGAAAAAAAATGCCCCAAGCTTAATAAAAACAAAGTTTTATCATCAAAATCTTTGTTATTATTAAAAGGAAAGACCTAAGGATTAAAATTTTTTCCTGTGTCAGCAAGTGACCATAAATTAGTATAGGAAATTCTAGTGTCTTTTGCAGTGAAAAATACATTGATTGGAAATTCTTGCAAAAAATCAAATAATTGTTGAATTTGACTGAAACTTTCTGTACTTATTCAGAAATGAATGAAATGTTTCTTTTTAGAAAAATCTTGATAAAAATATTTTTTTTTATTTATTTTTTTTTTTTTATATATCTGTTACCCTTACTTAATTTCATTAAATATTAAGTAATTCATTTTTGTACAATTTAATGTTTATATTAGTTATTAGCAGAAATCCTTGGAGAATTTAATTTTTTTTTTTTTTTTTTTTTTTTTTTTTTTTGTAAAATGGGATCCTCAGTTACTGAAAACCTGTTCTGAATCATAAAATAAAAAATGCAATACAATTAAGATATCATTTAATTGCTTTTAATAAGGTATATTATGAACACTATTGTTTTAAGAAAAAACAAAAATTTTTATGAATAATGAATTTTTCCAAAAATTGTTTTCATTTTTTAAAATTTTAATTAGAATAATTTATAAAGTTTTAAATCTTAAAATTGTATCTTAATTTCTACCAGTTAGGTGATATTATTAAGTAAAAACTATATCTACTAATTATAAATGGAAAAATTTACTACCATTCAGCATCACCCACCAGTATTTTTAAAAATAATTTTTAATGTTTTTTGGGTTTTTTGTGTATGTGTGTATAAATGTGCTGAATTTTGTAAATATGGACATCCATACATGACATTATCAGAAAATAAGACCAATAACTATAGTAAATTTAAATCCAAAGTGCCTAAAATTCAATAAAACATTAGATTACTTGGAATATTTTCCTAAATATTTAAGATTACCGGGTAGTTAAAAATAATAAAAAGGTGCTCATGTATTCTGATAATCATTTTTGATAAGTCATTTTTACAGATGTCTGCCATAGAAAAAATTCAATTTCCCAAACATCAGGCTGTTAATAGAACTGCCGACACCTAATACATCCACCTCTGTGTTAAAAAATGCTTTTCTGCAATATTTTAAAGTAAAAGTAATATTTGTTTCAAATCAGATTAATTAAACATTAAATCAGCTCAGTCAGTTATGTGTCATGTGTGATACATGTTGAGGTGATCATGTATCTTTCGTTACCTGACTGACGAGGCATTTTTTTTTTTTTTCCCCCCCTGCAGTAGGTTGCCATTTTTTTCTGTGGTAGATCAGTTGCCATCCACTATAGAACCCAGTCAGTCCTGCTATTTACCCATAGCTGGGGGTAGAAGAGGATTCATACCTTTCCCAAGGGTATTGGTATGTAAGTGAATGTAATGGATTTGACTGGAATTCAAACTCTGCTCTCCAATTCCTCAATCTAAGCTGCTATCCATTACTCAGCTAATCTTCCTTAAAGTTTCAGAAAAGTATTTCAATTTTTTTTTTTTTTTTTAATAATGAAAATCGATTAATTTAAATTCATTTTCAAATACAGCAAAGTATTTTGCTTATTGAAAATATTAAATTTAATCTATTAGCTTGAAATTAAAACTAAAAAACTTCATGAAAGATTTTTTCATTTTTAAAGATTAAACCAGAGGTATTACTTTTCTTTGAAGGTAACTAATATATATATATATATATGTGTGTGTGTGTGTGTGTGTGTGTGTAGGAGCAGAGATAACATGTGTTTTGTCATGGGGTAAGCTACTGTTGAATGTCATTACTCCTGTAACAAGCCAAATCCACACTGGTAGCTGACTGTTAATTTTAGTAAAAGTCTCAAGTTAGTTTAACCAAGCTCTCTTCCACCAGTATAATGTCAATTTACTGTATTGCTTTCAATATAAATTATAACTGACATGCATTTGTAATATCTGCAGGTTTGGCTGACATTCAAAAATAATATTGTCTGAAAAGTCTGAGATGAGTCATTATACTACAAATTATTATTATTATTATTAATATTAAATTCATTCTTATTTTATTCAAATGATAATTGATAATAAAAACAAGAATGCTAGTCTGAATAACTCATGTCATTATATTTTGCAATGTTGGCTTTTATTTCTGTTCAAATAATAATGAAATAAAATAACTATTTACCATTTTAAATCTGATACTCTATGCAACAAATTCTATTCAGAATTGGTTTGCTTTGTCACTTCTGAAAACAATTTTCAATTAAAAAAAAACAAAAAAAACTCAGTTCCAGTCAAAATAAAATGTAGCCTTTTTAAAAAAAATGTTTTAAATGCACATTGATGTTGTTAAATTCTGTGGAACAAACTAGTTCAGGCTTAAAGTATACAGTCTTTTTTTTTTTCCCTCCTGATGGTATGATTTAGTATAATATGTAAAATTAAAATGATAAAAGAACTGGGTTGCTTGAGAAAGGAACATTGCAATCCAGCGCTTTACAAACATCTTTGCATTGGTAACACACTATTTTATTTTTACTTATTCTTTTACACAATACATTATTCAAGTTTCATTAATTAAGCCAAATATATAATTCAAAATATTTTTGTTTTTCTTAAATAATTCAATGAGAAACTGTTGATAATTAAAATGTAGATATTTAATGATATTAAAATGTCATAAAATGTTCTTTGGAAAGATCTGGATTAATCACTTTCTTAAACTGATTCCTTTTCTAATAACTGACATGAAACAGTTTCTTTTCAACCATTTCTTAATTCCATTTGTTTTTATTTCAGTTATTTGCCATTGTAGTGTTTGGCTGTATATCATCTGGTGGTTGGTTTAGTGAGCAATGCCAGTTTAATGATGATGCGAATGCGTGTCGTTTTGGATCAGCCATTGGGGTCTTAGCCTTTCTTGGTTGCATCCTTTTTCTTATTATTGATGCGATTTTTGACAACATCAGCAGTGTACAACATCGCAAATATGCTGTCCTTGGAGATCTTGGTTTCTCAGGTAAGAAATATCTACCATTTTGTTAGTCTAATTTTTTTTATTAGACAAAAATGCTTATTTGATATTCTGATTATGTATAGAAAAGTTTTCTCTAATTCTTTATTGATTATACTCTGAATTTAGATCCACCTATGTGAAATCACTTTGACACATGCATCTGGTACATGTAATTTAATATGATAAACAACTATAATCCTGTTGGTACCTTTAGGTGAGATAATTGTCAGAGAAAGCTATTACTCCTGAGTAGTAACTTTCATCCTCATTGGGTACCCCATACTTGTCTATTTGTGCCAACCTAAGCTATTATCTTGTTGCTTTCTCTGTTAAGTGTTGATTAGTTTAAATGTTGGCTATTTTTTAACATACTATATTGCTTTTTCTTAATTTGGGAATTCTCTGCCTTATCTACTGCCATGCAATGGAGATTTTCTCAGTTTTCTTTCTCGTTATAAAAAGATGCTTTTCTTTAAAACAATTTAAATAAAATGCAATGGTTTCCTTTCCTTCATTAGCTTACTGTAGTCGCCTGATTAAGTTGAAATTAAAATCCATCTTTTGGATTGAGAAAGACCACTCCTTCATAGTGCTGATAATTTGATGATCATGAAGTACAAAGCATTAAAAGATTGTGCATTTTTATAGTAAATTCAATAATAGTCAATGATTATATATTAAATCTAACTGTTAAATCTTTGTGCATTTTTTGCAAGTTGATGAAACGATGTTTCCCAAAATTTTATTTGATAAACATTGCTTTTATGTGTGTGCTTGTATCATCTAATGTAGTAGTATTTTTTATACGAGTATGTGCAAATATTATGGAAAAATATCCTGTTCTCTATAAAGGATAAGAATAAAATAATTTTTCCAGATAAAATTAGTTTTTTTTTTTTTTTTGTTTTTTTTTTTTTTTTTAACTTATCATCACTCTTCTAAATGCCTGGTTACCTAATGTAAGCTTAAAATTCCTCAATATTTTCCCTAATATGAGAATATTACTATTCTCATATGTTCCCTCATAGATGAAGCTATTATTCAATGAAGTGCTCTTGTGTGTCAAGAATTGGCAAAAATTCTAACAACTCATTGAAAATAATCAACTATTCTGCATCAGAATGATTACAGAAATGGTTTCCATTCTGGAAATATTCAGGCCAAATTTTAAATGAAAATCTAAACTCCTCAAAATAACATCCACAACAATGCACAGCATTCACCATCTGACATCCTCTTGGACTTCACAAAACCTCTTATACAAAACAAACACATGCATTGTTACTCATAAATTTCAGTTAACATATGAAAAAATGACTTAGCAATCATTTTATGACATTTCAAATTGATGGGTTGTTTGATTTTTAACATATCTTAAACTTAATATAAAAATGAGAAAAACGGCAGTCAATTGATGAAAACTTCTGTTCAGTGGACTGAACAATTACAAAAAGGGTACATCTATGAAACTCCAGAGTTGAGGTACTGAATATAACATCAATCAGCTAAGTAACAAATTTTATATTTGTATTAATCCTATATATACTGACCATTTTTGTCATCCCTTTAAAAAAAAAAGATAGAAAGTCTGCTTCAAGTAAATCTGTAATGGCTAACTGCAGACTGAAGCACATTTGAAACTTTCCCATTGGTCAATGTATATCATGTCATTTGAATGCTGTGGTTTACCTTAAATGCACTCAGCTATTTTAATAATATTGCTTGAAATTCTAAATAAAGACTGGTTGATCAGTGCTTTGAAAAATGTCATATTTCTTAAACTATTTAAATTGAACTTATTTCTTGAAGTGAGTTGGACATTTTAGAAAGAAAGGTAGAAAAAGTTGTTTATGAATGTTTCTCAGCTTAAAATTATGCTTTGAACAATAGCTGCTGAAAGGTGATGGTTAACATGCTAACCTCATTATTTATTGTTAATTTGTTATTAACTTTGTGTTGCTCATATTAGAGTTAACTAAATACATGAAATTAAAAAAATTAATCAGATATGAAGTACAATGGATTGGTTTAAGATTATAAGACACAATGTTATTTTATATATTTATCAGTTATGCACTCTGATCCCTCCTATTCAGTTTGGTAACAGGTGACATTATTCTATGCCAATAAATGAATATGCCTCTTGTTGCCATAATAGAATATCTCATCAGCAAGTAGGGGAGATCAGGCTTCTGATAAATTGCTTTTCATTTGTTTTGTTTTAGTTTTCTTTGGATATTTTATTATGCTTTTAATGATTTGAATGGCAGAATTCATTCTTTCTTGCATGCAATGATAGTTAATTGTATAGAAAACATCCAAGAAAACACTTACAGAAAACCAATAAACTACTTTTTTCAGGTAAACTATTTTATATAGAATTTTGATACTGTGTCTTTTTTTTCAAATGTCTCCTTAGAGATTTAAGTAGTTTAAATTCGTCTTTATATAGTAACATTTCCTTGGCAAAAATGAAATTAGCAATTAGGTTGATATAAATTACCAAATAACTATTTGGGATCAGTTGTTTGTTTAATTATAATTTTTGCTATTATGCTCATGACTTAAAAATATCAATAGACTTAATGTGATTGTGAAAAACTTGTTCTGCACACTTTATCATTTGGAACTCCAAAATAATTATTCGTCTTCTCTTAATTCAACCACTTTTTCTCTCTAAGGGGAGATTACTCTTCATTGTTAATAAAATTCCCCCACTTTTCCTCACAAACGCATTTAATCTTAGCCAACAGATGAAATGTTTTGTAAAACATAGAATATATATATATATATATATATATATAATAAACCTATTTTAATTATGATAATCTATTTGTAGGAGGCTGGACATTTATGTGGTTTGTGTGTTTCTGCTACTTGGCTGACTCTTGGAGAAAAACCAAACAGATAGGACCTAAAAACCATGGCAAAGATGACATCCAAGCTGCTATTGCATTTTCTTTTTTCTCTATTCTAAGTTTTGTGAGTAGTTTTCTTTTTTTCCACTCTTCTCTTCAAATTTACTCCATATTTATATAATAGGTTGGAGTTTTAATCTGACAAAAAGTGATGTATTTAAGGGCATAATGTTCTTTATAGACTTCTGATTATCAAACAAAAAAGCTGTTAATTACTTGCTACAAAAATAATTTAATATATATATATATATATATATATATATATATATATATATATATATATATATAACCCAGGTTAAAATTACCTGTAACTCAAATTTTAGAAAACCCTTGACATGATAAAACACTCCAAACAAAAGAATGTTTATCTAAAATTTAACATGATTTTTAACTTGTAATTTCTTAATGAGGAACATTCAGTTAAAACTTATTAAAATATGTCTAATAGCCATTATTGGACTGTTTTTAATGAAATATCCTTGAAATGGAAGATTTACATGTAAATGGTTTCAACTTTTAGATAGCGGGGGGTGGGGACAAAAAAACTTGCTCATGACCTTTAAAAAAAAATTTTTATTTTTATTTTTTTTCGCTTTGACTTCTTGGAGAAGCCTTCAATAATTCACTCTTTTGGTAAAAAAAATTCATTAATGATTGTGTTTGTTATTAAGGATTTTAGTTGTTTGCACAATATAAAAGTTGACTTTCTGCGAAAAAGTTTATTAAAAACTTTATTTGTAAATATCCGTCTTTCTTGTTTTTAGCACAATTTTAGACCAATAAAGCACCACCTCATGCAGCATTGGTTCTTAATCTTTTCCTTCCCAGAGTACTGTTTGTGCTATACTCTCATATACCTCATGCAGCATTGGTTCTTAATCTTTTCCTTCCCAGAGTACTGTTTGTGCTATACTCTCATATACCTCATGCAGCATTGGTTCTTAATCTTTTCCTTCCCAGAGTACTGTTTGTGCTATACTCTTATATTAAAATTACACTGGTAAATAAAGTTAATGTGACATGCTTACATTTTGCTGCTTTATAACAGTGCCAATCAGTAAAAATAAGTTGTAGCCAACTCTGGAAGGAATTTTTCTGATGGGAATTTTTGAATTTGTACGCATACCAGTTCAAATAAATGTTTTGCTGGGAATTTTTACATAATTTTAATAAAATGGAACAAAATAATCATAGACAAAATTATTTTAAAAAAAAAAAAAAGAAAAAAAAAAGTGTATTATACCAAATAAGCCTCATGCTGGAGGGAAAATTGAAGGAAATGAATTGTCAGCATTTGTACTTGATAGACAAGATTCCATACTTTTCAAGCTTTTGCTTGTTCTCCTGTATGCAGTCAATAAATCTGCTTCTTTTATTTTTCATATATAATCTCACACACACAGTTTTGTCAAAGGCCATGAGATTATCTAGTATTATCTGGCACCCTCTTCTAGCCTTGTGAAGTGCGTCAACTTGGTGTGCAATTCCTCAAGCAGTCTTTCAGCCACATCCCATAAATGCTTGACTGGGCTCATGTCAAGAGAACATGGTGACCATGCACTTTGTTGAAAGTCTCCAGAATACTCCCCAAATCAATTCTGGGTAACATGTGCATCCAATGACATGGTGTATTAACCTTTTGGAATATTCTATGTTGTTGGGGTATATGGAGTCTATGAAGGAATAAAATGGGCCCAAAGCAGTGCAATGTAGTGGCAGGCTGGCCACTCTTATCTGAGGATACCCATCTACTGGGGCAGCTAGTTAATCCGTTTCAGATGCCAGCTCAGGCATATTTGTGTTTGTTCAACATCCACAGAGCCCACCCATGGTTTATACTGCAACTATGCTGAGTGGACCATAGTTAAAAAAAAGTTTCTGAGAGAAAGCATGTTATTTAGCGTGATCAACAGTCTGAACAAGGGCAGCACGCTCAAACCCTCAGTCACAATGACTTGTGACTTTGTGCTAGTACAACCATTGACTAATACAAGTCCTATTCATTAACTCGTAGCAGTGGGGAGAAGAGGTGGATTCATATCTTTACTAAGGATATTTGCATGTAAGTAAATATAATGAATATGACTGGAATTGGAACTATGCACTCCAATTTCCAATTCCAAACTGTTATCCATTACACCACCCACACATCCAAGCTTACAGCACCCAAGCAGTCACCCATCTGGGTACTGACCAGGTTTGACATTACTTAACTTCAATGATCATACGAAAACTGCTGTTTCAGTATGATATAACTGTAAGCCCACCACTGCTGGAATGTATTACCGATTGTCTATTGGTTGATTTTGTTTAGCAACATATCAACTTCTGTAGCTTATCTATTAATGCTCAAATATACTTTTTGGTCTCCATAAATATTCAGCGTTCAATGGATGCAGGTTACTCCACTCCATATTTTTACAGCTTCTGCTATGCTGGCAGCATACTCTGAAGAACAACTGCAGTAACTCAGACAATTTTTCAAAAGCCTGCCAAGAGTTCAGTCTGGCCATTAGTGGTAGTGTGGGGGGGGATGACGAACCAGGGCGTTGAACAGCCTACTGCCATCAGTAAGAGGTGGTTCATGAATTCACATACCACCCTGGCTGCACCATTTCACACACCCTCTCTCTAGACATTGAGGTCAACAGATGGATTGGGTGAGCTGCCTCAATGTTTGCCAAGCTGACCTCGAGAGTCTAGGAGAACATAAAGCTTACTACAAACACCAAAATTGCAGTCTATAGAGTATGTGTCATCAGTATGCTGCTCTACAGCAGCAAGGCTTGGAACCTCTACTCCAGACAGGAGAGGCTCCACAATGCCTTTCATTTTTGCTGTCTGAGATGCATACTGAGCATCAATTGGTCCAACCAGGTCACCAATACTGTAGTTCTCACCCATACCCAGTTACCCAGCCTATATGCCCTTCTCCAATAGCACCAGCTCCACTGGCTTGGACATGTACACTGTATGCCAGGTAGAAGGATTCTAATGGTTCTTCTGTGGTAAAAGGGCATGAGGATGACCTCGTCTTCACTACAATAATATCTGCAAAAGGGACATCAAGGTGATGGAAATCAAGAGGTGGGAGGACATCACCAGTGATCATTCACACTGGAGACACAATTTACACCAAGGGCTGGAATGAGGAGAAGGGAAACAAAGGCTTGCTGCCAGGGAGAAGTATGCCCGATAGAAAGAAAACAAGGTGACATGGGGTGGGGGGCTTCTTCACATGCATTCGTTGCAATCAAGACTGTCCAGCCATAACAGATGCTGCACTGCCATAAGCAGCAGCTGAGGCATATCTCTTTATCTGCAGATCCAAGTTTTTTTTGTTTGTGCCACACACACTTTATAATAATGCAAAATAAATTATGGGTTATTGGTAGGATAGTTCCTTCTCTACATCAACCTGTGGCATCATGATCAACATAATTTTTTTATATAATTTCAGAACTGAAAGCATAAATATTACTATGATGCTCTCTAACTATAGGAGTATTGGAAGTTGTGGGTGGGGAGGTTGATGTCAAGAATTGAGAAGGAAATTTTGAGATCTCCTCTACAAATGTATCTTCCACTTTTGCCTATGATAGAAAATAGAAATGCAACACACACGCACATAGTTTTTCCAGTGTTCTTACATTTTTCTGTTAAGTAGGAGTGAGCAAGTACAAAAATTGTCCATATCGTTGCTTTCAGCCACTTCTTTAGCCATTTTCAAGGTTGGTTATTTTTGGTGGTATTAGTTTATTTCCATTTTTTTGTGAGATTTAGTATTCATGAATTATAGTCTGAGCATTAATTCCGAGTCATCATAAGGTAAGGTTGTTGGTAGGAAAAGCTCTTTGATGTACAGAGCCTCTCTTATAATGAAGTGTTTTCGGAGATTTTAAAGGACTCTAGGACCTTTTTAAGAGTTCATGTAGATTATGAGTTCATAATTTTTTTTTTTTTTTTTTTTTTTTTTTATAGCACTTTTCTCTGATACACTGTCTGATGGACAATTTTTGTACTCCCTCACTCCCACCAAACAGAACACTGGAAAAATATATTTAACAAAAAGATGGTTAAAAGAAATTTTGCTGCCCATATATATATATATATATATATATATATATATATATATATATATATATATATATATATATATATATGACAATGATACAATTTTGACTGTCATTTATTGCCTCCTGCTACCACAAAATTTTCTTTCCTTGTCTGTCTGTCTCTCTTTTCCCCCAAATCAATTTGTTTCCTGTGTTTGGTGCATTTAAATTAGTCTAAAGATACAGTGTAAACTAACTGCAAAATAAATTTAAGTTTATAGCTGGAAAATTCAAATGTAAGGTTTTTCTTTGAAATTTTTTATGTGTGTGTGTGTGTGTGTGTGTGTGTGTGAAAATGAATGATAACATGACCAATATAAAATATCCATAGTTTTTCTTATGATGTTCTTATTGAATAAGATGTTGGTAACAAAATAAAAAAAAATTTTAAACATCCAACTAGTTTTTACATTTCTTCTTGCACACAATTTTCATTTTACTTTTTTTTTCTTTTTCTTTTTTTTTCTTCTCTCTCTCTCTAGTATTGTTACTGTCTACTTATCTTTCCTCCACACTCTTTTCTTTTCTCCTTCCAATTTCTTTTAATAATGTCAACATAATGGATTCTAGCTAAAAAGTGCCAGTGATCCAACAGATACTATATTCTGTTCCTAAGTAGAAAAGTGTAATGTTCATGCATGCAAGCAAACAGAATAATAGCATGATTTATGTTGTTGATGCTAACTGATTGTTTTTTTTTTTTTTTTTTTTTTTTTTTTACAGGGTGTGCTCACTTTTCTTGCTGTTCAGAAGTACCGCATGGGAGCCTCGGATGCTTTCACAACTGGTTATGAGCCAGAGCCAAATGCCTCGTCCCCTTACTCTTCTTTCCCAGGTAGTGAAACTGGTGACCCTTATCAGCAGCCACCATTCAGCACCCAGAAAGAAGCTCCAGATTTCCAAGCCCCTACCTACTAATGAAGCATCCCTTCCCCCTACCATGTGTGAGCAAAGCAAGCTGTTAGGAAAAAGGAAAGGCATGTGTGTAAGCGGCCAAAGAGACAAATGACACCTGATGTTATGGGATGGAGGTGGCACTGGAGATGGAACCATGCACACACCACCACCAATACCATGAACATCTAATTAATTTTATTCCACTTTCTCTACTACTACTCTCTCTCCTCTTCCTCACTTCCTTAATCATGGTTCATGCTGGTGTGAGCATTGTCACTGCTGCTGTGTTTAGCCATCATCATCATCATTACCTGTAGTAATGATGATGATGATATCGTCTTCAGCTTATTCCATTCAGTTTGGCTCAAATGCTCATCATACTCCATGCCAGCATCTATCCTGTTCCTGCCATCAGGTGTTTCCCATTATCTTGGCTCTACACTATGATTTGACTTGAGTAGTCTTTTATCATTCCGATCTCAGCTGAAAACAAAAATTATCATAAACAGACCAGAAAGAACAAAAAGAAAAACAACTTTTTACCATCATCATGTTTAGCTTTTACTCTTTTCTTTTTTTCTAAAAAAAAAAAAAAAAAAAAAAATATGAAAATACTTAAAACATTTTTATTCTAGTTTGCTTTTTTTTGCTTTTGTTTATAAACATTTAAATCCATAGTAAATTCAAACCAGCAAAATAGCTTTCATTTTCTTTGTTCAGTGAAAATAATTTCCATTTCTTTTTGACAGCTGCTTTTATAACAGAGATGAGAGAAAATACTCTCTTATGGAATAAGATCAATCTTAAAACTATATGTGAAAAAAAAAAAAAAAAGTTTCCAAACAACAAATGAAAAGTTTTAAAGAAAAAAGTATACTATGCCTGCTTTGTTAAACTTTTGAAGCTGCTACTGGTGTGTGGTTGTGAGGTAGATTTAATTTCTCATTTTATATATATATATATATATATATATATATATATATATATATATAATCACTTTTCTTTACTTTCAGAGTGTTCTTTTTTGTTTTGTTTTTTTTTTTTTTTTCTCTTAACTGACTGGCTACAGAATGAGTGCCCTTAAGACAACACTCATCCACTGACTGTTATTATTGTTAATAATCCATTTATGTAGTAGGAATGACAGCTGAGAGTAGTCCAACCATTCACAAAGAGTCAATACAACTTTGTTTGTTAAAGACATAGATGAGCAAATTGGCTATCAGTTGTTACTCAATGAAAACAGTCCACTATGCCTTTTTGAATGCAATCAATGCTTGATAAAAAAAATAAAAAGTAAAATAAATTTATATCAACTTAGTCTGTTGCTCCAAATCATTCTTTTTTCTTCCTGGGAAGAAAGAGATTCTAGCTCCAACATGAGACATACACCTAAGGTTTGTCCCTGCTCAAAACCCTTTTTTCCCCCCATTTATATCAGCAGTTAGTTACTTAAAACAATTTCTTCTGCCAAAATAAATGACTTTCTATAATTTCCGAAGCAATAAGCAGCCAACACTGTGATATAGTCCAAGTGTCTCTTTGTCTCACATGGCCTGCCTATGGTTGGGGGTCACTGTTGCTACTACCATCTTAGCACCAGTTGACAGAAATCTCTCTTATGTAGTAAATTGGCCGCTAAAACTTTCTCTTCCAAGACCCTTGTACCCTAACTGCTGATATATTTTCATTGCTGTAGCAACCAGCAGACTGCACTATTGACCTATTTGGTGCCCTTATTAAATTAAAAAAATGCTATATAACCAAACCTCACAAAATTTCCCTTTGGTTACATCTTCTTGCTGCTCTGTCAGATAGTTCGAGACTTGTGCCAAGAATGGGTGCCCATGCTCTTAAAGAGTTTTGGTTAAAAAAAAAAAAAAAAGAAAAAGTCTACACTTAATCATAAAGAAAGAAAAGGAAGAAGAAAAAAAAAAGTTACTCCTAGAAGCAAAATGAGAAGTTTCAATTTTTCAACAAGTTCTGGTTTAGTGCTTTGTTGTTGCTGTTTCGTAGTTTAAAAAAATAAATGAAAAGAAATACCCCCTCCCATTCATTCTGTCCTTTACTCCTCCCCCTGCATGCTCAAACATTGAACCTGTTTATACAAAAGAAAAAAAAGAAAAAAAATTTGACATGTGGCTTTTCATTTCATTTTTGAATCTTTCTCTGCATTCTTTTGATATAGTAAATAAGCTATTGCTTATTCTCTGCTGGCTAGCAATAAATATCTGAATATCTAGATAGGTAGATAGCATAAATTCATATATATATTTAAATATCTCTATATATTATCTCTCTCTAATAAATATATATATATATATATATATATATATATATATATATATATATAGTCATGGATATAGTGAGACAAGTTTGTTCACGTCTTGAGCTCTTTTGCCCTGTTTCAAAAGTAAAAAAAAAACAAAAAAATTAAATATTTTTTTTTTTAAATAACTGAAAATTAAAAAAATTATAGTTGATGCGAAACTGTGTTCTATAGTTTCCATAGTAATTCGTTACTATGTAATGTATTTTGTAGCCAAAATTCCTTTCACTCTGGCTACCTTCGTATAATTTCTCCCCACACCCTCCCTCCATGATGGCTCATCAACATACCTGAGCCAGTATCCATCACATTTCTTCTAGAGGTTGAGAGAACACCTGAATGCAAGATTAGTAAAATGCGAAGGTTTTCATTTGGTGTAAATTGATTTCTTCTAAATTGTTAGTTTTAATAAGTTACTCTGTCTCTCAATTTTTTTTTATTTTTTTTAGCTTGACAGAAAACATGTCCTAATTGTTCCAAATGTGACTGAATGTGAAACTCTCTCTCTAGGAACTCTATAATTTTCTTATTTTACATTTTCTTTCTGGATCAACCTTTTTTCTTTTTTTTTTTTTTTTTTTTTTTTTTTTTCTTCAAGTTTCTGATCTCTAAATAAAAGCAACGTTTCGGAATCTATATCTCTTTTTACTTTTCCTTCTTTTCTGTTTGATTACCATTCCATTTTTATCTTCTTTTTTTTTCTTTTTTTTTCTTTCTTATATATAAATAATTGATTTTTATTACGTTTGTATATTGTAACATATGAACAGTTAATTTTTCTTGATTGAAAGGGGAAAAAAATTTTTTTAATGTAATATCCCAATAAACTGCAGTTTTATCTGATCTTTTGAGAAAAATTAGACTTTTTTTTTTTTTTTTTTTTTTTTTTTTTTTTAATTCATTGTATTTATAAACAAATTTTTGCAAAGTTAACTGAGCCATTCCAAGATTGTTGCTTTTTTTTTTTTTTTTTTTTTTTTTCCTCCGGTTTTTAAAATGTTATTTTTTGTTTTTATTTTTTAACTATGCAAAATTAGAATTGCTATGGAAAGTGCAAATTGGAAGCATGCGTGCGTGTGTGTGTGTGTGTATACATATCTTCATAATTCTCATTTTCATTATTTATTCTGTGTGGGTGTGTATTTATTCTCTCTGATATCTTCTCTCTCTCTCTCTCTCTCTTTCTCTCACACACACTCTGTCACATCCATGGGTTATCATTCTTGCTCTCTCTCTCTCTCTCTCTCTCTCTCTCAGCACTACTGGTGCAGTTTGCATGCGTTGTCTATTCCAGCCTCTGATGCCTCATACTCAGCCATTCCAACAATTTGGTTCAACAAACCCTTGTCATTTTTCTTGTCATCTTACAAATAAGCTTCATTTAGTTTTTCTCTAGTTTTTTGTTAGGCTTTTTAACATTGTAGAAGTTGACTTTAAAATGACAATATTAAATTAATTGAATTTCAGTTTGCAAACATTTATGGAAACTAATAACAGCAGAATGTATGATAGCCACTGATTACTTTTTTTCTTAGTCTCATTCAATTTCATAAACTTCATTATTTTGTGTTTTCAAAATTGATTTCTACAATGTCAAAAGGCCCAGACAGTTCATCAAAAATAAATGTTTTTTATGATGTGAGATTAGAGAAAAATGATTTGAACCTATAACCTAATCAATGACTTGTTGTTATGATAATAGCTATTATAAAAGTTACTATTGTTAATTATTAAATTTTTTTATTTTTATTAACTTGCAGGATGGCAATTTAATTTTTTTTTTCTCCTGCTATTTCATTGTTTTCAATAACAAGTGGAAATACTTTTAATGATATTTTCATACTCATGCTCTGTGAGTGTGATGGCAGTGTTTAAGTTTTAAAACTATTTTACCAGATGTGTTTCTGTAAACATGTACTTTTAAAGCTGTTATGTATTGAATTTTTTTAATCTGCTTTTACTATTATTGATAATGTTGTATCATCAAAAACAAATTCTGATTGTGCTAATTTTCATTTTTTTTTTTTATTATTTTATTTAAAATTTTATTTCTGTTGCCCCTTTTTTTCTGTTGTCTTGCCTGCTTCCTTGTTGTTGTCACTACTTTTTTGTATGGTTGTATATGTCACTTAATCAAGATGAGCTTTCATCATTGTTCATGCAACAACAACAGCAACAACCTTTGCCTGATGCTTGCATCACTTGATAGTGACACAATACCACTTCAGCAATTATTTTTTAAAAAAATTTCATTCAAATTAAAATTTTAACAGCCACTGCATTCTAACTGGAAAAGAAAATTTATACTTTTGTTTTAGATCTATTAAGGAGTCCTTATTGCATAATTTGAGAATTTAAAAAAAAATAATTGAAACGCCTAAACTTTTAATACACTTGAAAATTTGAGTTTGTACAAGCAAAAGCAAAAAAAAAAAAAAAAAAAATTTAACATGCACTGATTCTATTCCAGTTTGACTTAGCGCCTACATTTCCAATCAACTATGTTTAGGGTATGTAGATTGCACTTGCTAATAACTTGTGCTCTTTCAGTCAGAATATAGTTCATTGGAAAATTGTTTTGGCAAGAATAAAGAAATGAAAGCTGAAATGTTCAGCTTTGTTTAGCAGAGACATTAAAAACATGCATAGTTTATTGCTATTTCTTCTTTTTTTTTTCTCCTTTTCTTAATTT